CAGGTAGACATCGCCTTTTAAAGATTCCTAGCCTGACCACTGTGGTCTTTTTTCCATCTGGAAGGAAAGCATGGACTAGTCCTTGTTTTTAGCTGCCTACCTACTCCGTTTCCCTTACTACGTTTCTTTTCTTGCAAAAATGAATTTTCATAGAATCATAGAACCACTTGAGTTGGAAAGGATCACAGGGATCATCAAGTTCCAACCCCACTGCCACAGGCAGTGCCACCAACCTCCAGATTCGGAACTAGAACAGGTTTTCCAGGGCCCCATCCAATCTGGTCTTGAACAGCTACAGCAATGGACACCACAGCCAAACTGAGCAGCCGTTTCCAGCACCTCAGCACTCTCTCTGTAAAGAACTTTCCTCTCACATCCAGCCTAAACCTTCCCTCCTTGAGCTTAAAATGTTGTTTCTGCTTTGAGATAGCATTCGCTGTAAGAAATTCAAAGAACTATTTGTCCTTATTAAATCAATATTAAATAAATCTAATTTGCCCACTGTTTGCTTCCCAGAGAATACATGTATGAACATAAAAAATGACAGTGTCAAGAGGCGTTTATTCATTAGCCCTGAGTAACAAACTAGAGTATTAAATGCAAGGTAGAAAGTTGAGATTAAAAGCCAAGACCTGGAATAATCTGACTTCTTTATGATGCCAGTTAGGAAAACAGTCAAACTATCGGGAAAAAAAAAGAAAAAAAAGAAAAAAAAAATAGTATCCTGACACACTGAAATGGCTTGCATTCAGGTGGATGTCTGACATTGGATGCAGGTCATAGTTAGTTCTAGATTTTAACACCTGTACAAATAAAGTTCATGACAACAACCTCTTTAAGGCTTTTGTTTACCTGATTACCCCTGGGGTGATTCATTAGTCTCCACTCTGAAAAGGCTTTTAAGGAATGAGGTGAAGGAAGGAACATTTCTATCTGACAGAATGGAAAACAATAGTCTATACATACTGTTAATTTAAAAAGAAGAAAACATTAAAATTCGTGGCCATGGAGAGGTCTTTGCTAAGCAGAGATATGTAATTCTTTTTTGTTTTTGTTGTTGTTGTTTTCCATGTGAAGATAAAATTTCTGGGGAAAAAAAAAAAAAAAATTGGAATCCAAACCCTGAGAAATGAAAGTCTGTTGAACGGGATTTCAACATTCATGCCCTTCCAGGTAAGAAACAGTACTGGTCTGAAATCTGTGTTAGTTGGTGCAGAAATGAGACACACTTTCCACAGTTTCAGTTGTCTGATGTTGTCAATTAAGTTAAGTATCAGGGTTTTGAATTAATAAGATTTTAATAGGAAATTCTATATTAAATATGTGGAAAGAAATGTTAAGTCTTAAAAAGATATACTATCGTAAGTATTCCAGATTTAAGTTACTAGATGGGTGTCCTCACGTAGCCTTTACTGTTACAGTACCTAGTAATCTCTTTGTAGTGCCTGCAGGTGGTAAGCAAGATCGGAAAGGAAGTTCTGACTTCTGAGTTAATATCTAAACTCCTGTTCTTACCAGTGGAAAGAAAACAGAAAATGTCAGTAAATTATTTAGCTTGTACAAAGTAGATTTAGAAAACATGCTGAATGGATTGCAGTCCAAAGCACTCTCTTCTCTCTGTAGACTAGAAATGGAGGCAAAAACTGATGGCATGAATAAAGCGTGTTGATAACACACCAATGTTAAGTGGTGTTGTAGAGAGCCGAGGCCATTCTCAGTGAATGGACTAAGGAACAGAATTAGGACAACTGACTTAAACTGGCCAAAGGGACATTCCATACCATATGACATCATGTGGAAAGAGCTTTGAAAATAGTGGAAGTTCATCTGGCTCTTGTGCTGCTCAGGGGCTTAGCTGGGCAGTGGTTGGGGGGTGTGAGCAATTACTTGTGCGTCAGTTGTTATACACGTTTATAACTATATACAAATAAATATAATCCTAACTATTATCTTTTTCCTTTTCTTTATCTTAGAAAATAGTTTTATATCAACCCATGAGTTCTACTTTTTTCTTTCCCAAATCTCTCCCCCATCCCACTGGGAAGTGGGGGAGTGAGTGAATGAGTGTGTGCTGCTGAGCCACCCGCCAGGTTAAACCACAGCGCATGAAAGTGCATACAAAGCAAAAGCGTGTCACTGAATTCCTCCATACAGAAAAAAAATTATCTATTGACATTCATCAATGCTTGCTGAACATTTACGGAGATCAAACAGTGGATGTGATCACAATGAGGCAGTGAGTGGTGCATTTCAGCAGCAGCAACGCAGCATGCAGAATTGCCTTTGTCATCACTAAAAAAAAGTTATGTCAAAACAAGAATGGAAAAACAAAACGGTTGTTACAGAGTTTATTCTCCTTGGATTTGGAAATGGCCCTGAGCTGGATTATCTTCTCTTCCTAATGTTCCTGACAACCTATATTATGACCATAACAGGGAACACCTTCATCATTGCACTGGTGGTGGCTAATCAGTCTCTTCACATCCCAATGTACTTCTTCCTGGGCAATTTGGCTTGCTTAGATATCTGCTACAGCTCAAACATCTTGCCAAGAATGTTGCTCAGTTATCTGAGTGGAGACAGAAGAATATCAGTTGTCGGATGTTTTACACAGTACTATTTCTTGGCAGCTGCAGAATGTTATCTCCTAGCAGTGATGTCTTATGACAGGTACCTAGCAGTGTGCAAACCCTTGCTCTATTTATTCCTTAGGAACCACAAGCTCTGTCTCCAGCTAGGTGCTGCATCTTGGATAAGTGGTTTTCTGTCTAATTCTATATTAACATTCCTGATCTCAAACTTAGATTTCTGTGGCCCTAATGAAATTGAACATTTCTTCTGTGACTCCTTTCCAATGATGAAACTATCCTGCAGTGACACTCACATGGTGGGACTTGTCACTTCTTTTGTGGCAGGTGGATGCTCCCTGCCTCCGTTTCTCTTGACTTTCTCATCCTATCTCTACATCATTATTACAGTCATGAGAATTCCTTCTTCCACTGGAAGGAAAAAGGCCTTTTCCACCTGTTCTTCACATCTTATTGTGGTGTTACTTTTTTACTGGTCAATATTAGCTGTCTATGTCCTTCCTCATCACGGTATTCAAATATCTCTGAACAAAGTCTTCTCTATGTTTTATACTATTCTCACTCCCCTGGTCAATCCTCTTATTTATAGCCTGAGAAATGAAGAAGTAAAGAAAACTCTGCAAAAAAAGACAAGTACACTACTGGGTTTCAGATAGTTGATTTGTACTTCAAAAATAAAATGAAATAGTCCTTGATGATTTAAAGGTCCAGATAAAACTTCATGGCATATGGATAAAGCTAATTTTTAGTACAACTTGAGAATACGACATTGTACATAGAAAGAATAAATAAGGAGAAATACAAAATGTGTGGACAGTCTTGCTATCAATTTGGGGTGAGAGGTAGTACCGAGAAAGAATGTGTAGTGAACTCTGTAAAGTAAGCAAAATAAAGCCATGAATTAATGTATTATTGCACTTAGTATCTTCTTGCCTAACTATCTTTTTTTGATCTCTTTACAGCTGAAATTCAGAATAAATTGAAACTCAGCTTATAGTGGATAAACCAGTTCTTTACTAATGTTATGTTTTAGATTACTTTTAGTTTTTTCATCTGTCTTGTAGATGTTAACAACCCAGGTAGTTATCTAGACTCTCTCATCTACAAATAAAGAAAGTGAGAAAATTTGAGTGTAGTTTGTTTGATCCGTTTTGTATGCCTGGTTTTGGTTTATATAAAACATCAGGGTTTGTAACTCAAGAACTCTGTCACATTTATTTGTCAAATAGTGTATATTTAAAATAGGTCAGATCACCAGGCCTGACAGGATTGGTATGAGTGGACTGGATACCAGCTACTGGAGTCAGATCAGAGTGTAGGAAGCTCCAGCCTATGATGCCCACTACTTAAGTGGACTTCCCTACTCCTGTCCACTAGGGCAGGAAAGGTATGTGCTTCCAAAGCAGCTGTTGGGGGCAGCAGCACAAATGAGGCAAGTGTGGGGCTGAAACCAGTGGCTGAAGCTGAGCTGTGGGTCACACCCCTTGTGCATGGTGCTAGCTGCTGGGGGGCAAGTGTCTGTATCTTCTCCTGTCTGATATGCAAAGAATGCATGTGTGTATTCAGTAGCAAAACTTTAAACTGGAATAGCCAGCAAAGCATACAGTAGAATCATAGAATTACTCAGATTGGAAAGGATGTTAAATATCATCGAGTCCAATCACAACCTCACCATACTACCCTAACTCTAACAACCCTCCACTAAATCAGTCCCCGAGCACCACATCCAAACGGTTTTTAAACACATCCAGGGATGGTGAGGAGCCTATTCCAGTGCTTACCAACCCTTTCTGTAAAGAAGTTTTTCCTAATATTCAACCTAAACCTCCTAAACTTCAGGCCATTTCCCCTCGTCCTGTCATCTATTGCCAGTGAGAAGTGAACAACCCCACTCTTACTGCAATCACCTTTCAGATATTGGAAGAGAGCAATCAGGTCTCCCCTCAGCCTCCTCTTCCCCAAACTAAATACTCCCAGTTCCTCACAGGCCATGTTCTCCAAGCCCTTCACCAGCCTTGTTGCCCTTCTTTGGACCTGCTCCAGCACCTCCACATCCTTTCTGTACTGAGGTGCCCAAAACTGAACGCAGCACCCGAGGTGAGGCCTCACCAGTGCAGTGCAGGGCAGGATGACTTCCCTGGTCCTGCTAACCACACCATTCCTGATACGAGTCAGGATGCCATTGGCCTTCTTGGCCACCCAGGCACACTGCTGGCTCACATTCAGCCAACTGTTCATCAATACACCAAGGTCCCTTTCCATCAGTTTTCCAGCCACTCCTCCCCAAGCCTGTAGGGTTGCCTGGGGTTGTTGTGAGGAAAATGCAGGAGCCGACACTTGGCCCTATTGAAACTCATACTGTTAACTTTGGCCCATCAATCCAGTCTATCCAGGTCACTCTGTAGTGCCTTTCTCCCCTCTGGCAGATCAACACTCCCTTCTGTCTCACTCCAATTTATAGGAGGGAGAGAAGGTTTTTTAATGTCTGTATATGCGGCATGAGATTAAGAAGCAACAGTTCAAATGTTGGTCCAAACAGTTTATTACAAATCTTAGGGAGATGGGAAGGGGAGGACGGACACTATTATGAATTAGAGTAATGGGGAAGGGAAGGAGGGCGATAGGAAAGATAGGAAAGAAGAAGAAAGGAGTCTTTATAGGAAGCAAGAGGGAGATAGTCACCACCATGGGTCCAGCATGGTTTGTAGTTCAGTCATTGATCTTCAGTAGTGGTGACCTGTTGGGCGTAGTTGTTCGGTTGACAACAATGGTGCCCACAGCAATGATGGCCCCTTTTCAATGGTAGTACCAACTTATTTAAGTCCAAAATGGTCGAGTCAGCTCTCTTTGGAGTGACAGCTCAAATCCAAAGTGTTTTCATCAGCTCTCCTTGGAGTGGCAGCTTCTGAGTCTGGGATCTCAGCAGAAACTCCTTTGTTCCTGGGCCTTGCCAGTAGATAAGAGGGAGCAGGGATGCCCACCTGCAGCCTGTTTTTCACAGGACACGATGGTATCATTCCCCAATTTTCCCATACCAAGCTGGAGCTATTTAGTCGCAGGCCAGATCTTCCGCCACTAAACACTCATGAGCATTCTTCCAGAGGCAAGCAGCTCTGGAGGAAGGTGCTTTCAAATGTCCACAAAGTGATGTTGATTGTCACATGGTAGCACCAATCACTTCCCTCCCCAGTAAATCAATCAGAGTCTTATCAAAAGAAATACCTCAGGAAGCAAGCTTTGAGCCAAAAAACAAGGAAGGATTCTCACACCTCCCAGCTTGGTGGTGTCCGCAAACTTACTGAGGGTGCACTCAATCCCCTCATCAAGATCATTGATAAAGATGTTGAATAGAAGCAGCCCCAGCACTGAGCCCTGGGGCACACCACTTGTGACTGGTTGCCAACTGAATTTAACTCCACTGACCACAACTCTTTGGGCCCGGCCATCCAGCCAGTGTTTCACCCAGCAGAGCATCCATCCATCCAAACTGTGGGCAGCCAGTTTCTCTGTGAGGATGCTGGGGGGGGGACAGTGTCAAAGGCTTTACTGAAGTCCAGGTTGACCACATCAACAGCTTTACCTTCATCCATTAAGCGAGTCACCTTGTCATAGAATGAAATCAGGTTTGTCAGACAGGATCTACCATTGGTAAGCCCATGCTGACTGGGCCTGGTCCCCTGGTTGACCCTTAACCAGTCCACAATGGCTCTCGAGATTATCCATTCCATAACCTCCCCCGGCACCAAGGTGAGACTGAAAGGTCCGTAGCTACCAAGATCATCTTTCCAGCCCTTTTTGAAGATGGGCGTCACATTTGCCAGTCTCCAGTCCACCGGTAGCCAGGAGTGTTGTAGGATGATGGAGAGTGGCTTGGCAACTGCATCCACCAACTCCCTCAGCACCCCACGGTGCAACCCATCTGGGCCCATGGACTTGTGAGTGTCCAGCTTTCAGAGTAGGTCCAAACCAATCCTTCATGGATTATGCAGGGCGTATTCTGATCCCCATCCCTATCTACCAGTATAAGAGGCTTTGTGCCCAGGGAGTAACAAGTTTTACTATTAAAGAATGAGGCAAAGAAGGAATTAAGTTCCTCAGCCTTATCCTGAGGTCACTATGTTGCCCTCAGAATCCAACAAGGGATGGATCTCTCCCTGACCCTCCTCTTACCGTTGATGTATTTTTAGAAATATTTGTTGTTGTCCTTCACCTTGGTGGCTAAGTTCAGTTCTAGCTGGGCTTTGGCTTTTCTAATTTTCTCCCTGGAAAAGATGAAGCTAGACCAGCCAGCAAGTATCTGGGGCCTTGGGTCTGAGCAGAAGTGAAATTCAAGCTGATCTGGTCAGTGAGTAGTTGACCCATGCAGTGTACCCGCTTCACAGGGTCTGGGATCCAGTTGGGGTGCTGAGCAGAGAGAAGGGCCATGGAGGTACTCCAGGATCTGGCAGGGAGTGCTGGATGGACAAAGGGGCCGTGCACCTTGAAGTATATGTGAATGTCTGTGCTTGTGAACCTAGAGAGTGCTGTGTGTGTGTCTTCACTAGTGAACTTCTACTGCCACTAGCCAGAGAGGAGGAAATGTCTGCATTTACATAAGTCCTCCGTGTGAGTGTTGTTGAAGGCAGCCCTTGTTCAGGGCAGCCTTTCTGGCTAGTCGTGTCAGTGTCCTCTCTGCATCTCTGTCAGCCTGTATGACACATGCTCAACTTTGCTGTCAGTTGAATATTCAAAGGGGAAGTGGCACTCACATCCCCCAGCTTGGGCAGAGCCTGGTCCTCGGTCACCAGGCCAGGTCTTATCTGCTGGACAGGAGCAGTTCTGGGCCAGAACTGAGGCGGCCACACTTGCATCACTCTTTACCTCTCCTAACAAACTTCATTATTTCTATTCATTAAAAAAAAAAAAAACACCCACTCACAACTTTCACTAAATTATGTGGTTCACAGTCTACTTCAATACCAGGGGAGATGTTCTGTCTTTTGAGTATACTCGGTAATGAATCCAGAGAGGAGTTCAGATCTCAGAAAGCAATGCAAGATGCCATTCAGAACAGCCAAACCTCTCCTTCTCTACAGGATCCAACACAAAACTATTAACAGATCTGATAAGTTGCCCAAAAGGCAAGAAGGTATCCTAACATCTGAAATCATATCATAAGCTCCAGATGACTTCTCAAAAAAATTGAGGTATACTAGTATTTCCTAGTCTTTTTGGTAACAAAAACTGTCAAGAAATTTTTTACTAGTGTAGATGACTCAAGAAAGAACAGTTTACATTTTAAAGGACAGAACAGTATGCATCTGAATACTGTATACAAATGTCTGCAATGCATACACTAATGACTGAGCAATATTTACTATTTTATTTATATTACTAAATCATTTCTATATATTACTAATATATATATTATCTATTAGTAAGATTTTACTTTGAGATGGAAGCGAATCAAGTACACCTGGCAATTAGCATATTTTAAATTACTTCTGAAAGATAAACAAAATAACGTCTGAGTGTTCTTGTTCCTCTTCACAGATTATAAAGGAAATTCAAATGGGTATCTCAGCTGCTGATTAGTCATATGGATGTTTGCAGAAATAATACAAAAGCTTTTCTCAGTCTCTCAGATAGTGAGTGTGGTGGTGATGAGCGGCCACAG